GTGTGTGACTGAACTTAACATCAAACTGCTTCTGTTTCACACACAATGCCGGCACAGACGTGCATGTTCTGCTAGAGTCACTTTGAACTCGTGCATAAAGTCCTGTCGCGTGCACCTAAGCGAACTTGTGGACGCGTCGAGTAAATCAGCCTTGTGTGCGTTAGATACAGTGAAGACAGCACGTTAGTTTAGAACTCTTCTAATTTTTTTTTTAATCGCAGAGAGTGTGTTAATGTGTGCAATGATAACCTACCAGCAATGTAACTGATTTTTTTAAATATATTAGAATGAGTACATTACAATATAAATGTATTAGAACGAGTACATTATTATTTATGGGCTTAAAAACAAGATGCAAACAATCAGAATATTGTACCTGGTGGGGAGTGCACAATGTAAACATGAAACATATGCCATTACATATATTGTACTGTGGTACAGTTATGGAGGCCCTTCATAATGCAGAGGTCAAGTGCCTGCTCTGCCAATAGTTAGAAATGGCACTATAGTAAGCAGTGTTTGATAAACAGCTGTTTTTCTAAATTCTGCTGAGGTGAAATTCAGTGCAGTCCTGTATCGTGGCCTCTGTATCGTGATACGTATCGTATCGTGACTTTGCTGGTGATACACAGCCCTAGTGCATACCATGATAAACTAAACATTGGAGTATAAGCATAAACGTTTTAAAATACGTCCAAGAATTTTACATGTCAGTCAGTTATTGAAGTGGCATCAACTTTTCATTTGCACGCCCCTAAAGATGATGCTACACACAATGAACCGTGATTGGTTGCTTTACCTGTTAGTCAGACAGCCTCTCGGATGGTCCTTGGCCAATCAAAGGGGTTCAGACCTTCTGTTGTCAGCCTGAAGGCCTGGCTACACAAGACAAAGATTTTCTTAACTTTAGGGCTTTCATGCAACTGGGCACACTAAGATTTGGACTACAGCAAACATCCCCATTGTGAAATTCACATCAGAGTCCTCATGCTGTCAACAGAATACCAATATAGATTTTTGGTAATGTCAATGTAATAATAAATGATAACTACTCTTATTGCTACCTGCAAATTCACATCACGTGAAACTGTATGACCAACAGCAGTTTGATACATCACAGCATAATAGCTGAATTAAAAAAACATGAATGTAAAACTGCAGCACTGCAGGAAAGTGAAGTAGTTTACATTTTAAATGTATTATTATGCGTTATGTGTTGAATTTTAAGTTTTTAAAACGATGCTGCAGAGCATGACATCATATCATGACCGTTGCAGCGTCCAAGGAAATTTTGCATGCTCAAAGTCTAGTGTGACCGCAGCATTCACAGCCCTTCACACAATCTAAAACTGAATAACATAATATTTTGTGTTCAATCCGTAGAGCACACCTTTTCTGTCCTGAGACCCTCAGGTGACTACCAAGGAAGAACACTGAGTAAGTTACCTAATTATTTTATTTTAAATTGATGTTGAAACCATCATCATTAACTTACTTTAAGATTTTACTTACCAACTCCATTTTGAGCTCCAGTGTGTCTCTTTAGCAAAGCAGAAAATACTGAAAAGCATTAAAGGGGTCAGGATATTTTTTTTTTTAAATTGTAAACATTTTACCCTAAATAATGTGACATTCTTTTGATAAAATCCATCAAGGCAGATGCATGTAACACTACATCTAACATTTAAAACCGTACAGTAAATTTATACTTACAGGTACTTCTGGTGGGAGACAGGAAAATCCAGTCTTGAGTACAGTACCAAATCAATGTACACGTATGTTATTTATTAATTTAAATAAGTTGCAAAATGCATAATTTCATTCATCAAATCTACATACCAAATTAAATTATCTTCTGTATTGCAGCTGTAGAAAGGGCAATTCTGGAAACACTAGAGAAAATGGACATGAAGATCAACCATCTGACTTCATTGGTCCAGTCTCTAGTGGGGAACAGGTGTGTTGTACCCCAAATGCAGATGGCTGAAGAGGAAGAGGGTGGTGTCTTTCCTCTAGCATCTACTGCAGACCTAGATAGGCTGGAACAAAGATTATCAGACAGAGGGTTTATGCAGAGAATGGTAAGAATCACTGAAACTGTCAAACCTACAACTACTAACAACATGTCATCAAACTGTTTGTGTGCTAACATGTGTGTGTGCATGTTTACACACTACCAGTCAAGCTTGGAATGACTGAGTTGAAATGTTGTTGAAAGAAGTCTCTAATGCTCACTCCATTTATTTGCTAATATATAAAATTATTTATGAAAAATATAACAGAAACGGTAATACTCTGAAATATTAAAATAATAAGCTGTTATTTGTAAATATTTTTAAATACTCATTACTCCAGCCTCCAGTGTCACATGACCCTTCAAAAATCATTATAATATGCTGATTCTGCTCAGTTATTAG